TGAATTATATTGAGATGAGAGACATGTTGAGTACTTGACAAAGTTGAAGATGTTTCCTGAATTTTTTCAGATTGAAGTTAGAAAATAGAATGATGATCAGGTAAAACAAATATTGAATGGAGATGTTCATTTTTTATTGTTGTGGTTTGTTTTTATATTTGAATTTGCAGTTGTAGGAAGGTTACTTGAGGACAAACAACAAATTAAGATTGGGTTTGTGATGTCACTATGTTATTAAATATATTTTGTTAAAGAATTAGAGATAAATCGGTCTAAGAGGAGCAATTTCGAGGAATAATGGCAAAAAAATGATGCAAAAATGACCAAGTATGAAGAAATAGGGAATAATCATGTTGGTCACGCGTGCCATCGCGTGCGTGATAGAGCTGAAAAAATTGCATCGCGTGCGACGATATCCATGATGCGCATGATAGGCCCCTTTTCTGGGCATATTGTGGCACATTCTTCTATGTTCTAAAGGCTTTAAAAAGGGAGTTTTGGCGTCTTTTCAAGTATTTTGCAAATTTGGACTACAAGTGACAAAATTAAGTACTAGAAGCGGATTTTCATAGAGCATTAGAAGCCGTTTAAGGCTAAATCTTCAAGGGTTCTCTTATGAAATCTTCACCTAATTGTTTGGTATTTTAATTGTATCAGTATGAGTAGCTAAACACTTTTAGGTTAGGTTTTGTATGATGAACTTATTTTGAACACGTTGGGACATATGTCTAATTTGATGTTGCATGAATTATCATAGTAATATTTCTATTTAATTGCCTCTTTTGCTTAATGCATATTATTTGAGATACTATGTTAATATGATTATGGACGTAAAAAAAGGGATTACTGACCCTTAGCCTACGCGTCTGAACTAAGGAAATTATTGTACTTATGCCGATTGAATAGAGATATGAAACCTCTAGTAGCGGCATTAAAACTAGCGCATCATATCATCGTATGATTTCACTTATGTCGGATGAATAAGGATATGAGACCTCTAGTTGAAATCAGTGAGCTATACACTAAGGAATTTGGTATAGTGAATTTGATAATTCACAGTGAAAATATAACTGCGTACCATTCGTGTAATGCATTAGACATCAACATGGGAGAAATAAGGGATTCTATGCAAAATCTTACCGTTTTTCTCATTATTTTTAGAATAACTTTTATTTTTTTGAAAATTAAACTCGAACCTCCTCCCCCCCTCCCCCGGGGTTACTTTCTAAACATTGTTTATTATTTGTCTCGGTCCTGTGAATACGATCTTATTTATTATTTTGATAATATCGGTACACTTGTCGAGAAGTCATCATTGACTTATGTTAGGAATTCAAACAGCTAATAGAGAAAGATAGACTAATATTAGAGTTATTCTTACGATGAAGTCAAAGAAGTTGAGCGGTCAAGTGATGGAAACAAGCGTTCGGAACCAAATGGATTTAACTTTGGTTTCTTTAGATTTGCTGGGAAATTGTGAAGGCCGATATGATAAATTTTGTGAACGAGTTCCATTGCAATGTGGTTGTCCCTAAGGCGATCACAACCTTGTTCTTAACTCTAGTTCCAATGTCAGAGAATTCCCTAGAATTGAATGAGTATAGACAAATTTGTTTGGTTGGATGTATATAAAAAAATTGCAAAATTATAGCGTCAAGTTTAAAGAGGAAGGTAGGTAAGCTAATATCTCAAAGCCAATTTTGTACCAAGTAGACAGATGTTAGATGGGGTCTCATGGAAAATGAATTGATAGACTTAGCTAAAAGACAAAGAAAGAATGTTTTATGCTTATAGTCGACTTGAAAAGGTATACAATTGAGTGTGTTGGAACTATCTAAGGTACGCTATGAAACTGGATGGGATTTGGAGCCAAATGGAAGTCATGGATGTAGTCTAACAAAAAAACTTCCAAGTGGGGGGAAGACTGAGACAAAGGGATCTTTTATGTCTCCATTTTCTTCTTGATCACAACATAAGATTAACAAGATTGATTCGTAATGTTGTTAACATGGGAGAATTTCATGTATTTAGAGTTAACTAAAATGTCAATTATCATATTTTTATAATTTGCAGATGATACCATTTAAGTAGGTGATGGTACGAGGAGAAATTTAAGGAGTATAAAGAATAACTATGTGGATTTGAACTAGTCTCAAGGTTGTGTGAACTTTTACAAAACTAAGTTGTAAGCTATCAATGGTAACCACAACCTAGTATGTGTTGTGTGCTTCAAAGTAAAGGAAGCCATCTTGAATTTATTCTTTCTATGTCTGTTTGCAGTACTACTATGGAGGAAGGTGAGCCTTTGGGTAGGAGCAACAATGCCAATGGAAACAACACCTAAATAACACTTTCTACAGTTCAAAAATTGATGAAGGGTATTATCTCAAAAAAGAGGTTACACATATTAATAAAAAAATGTTAAAGATAAAGAAGGCAAAATCTTGATTCAGAAAAATAAAATAAAAGATAGGTTAAATATATATTTTTAAAATTTATTTAATAAAGAATATGATTTTTCACTAGGCTTTAATAGATTCAACAATAGAGAAGAAGATCAAAACTATAATTACTACAATCGAATTCAGAAATAAAAGGTAAAGGAAGCGTTCAAATGATGAATAACAGTAAGGCAGTAAGGCCGGAGATATTGAGTATGAAAAATTCTTGGAGAGAGATATTGAGTGACTCACCAAGCTATTTAATAAAATTACGAGGTGAAAGAAAATGTTTGGTGAATGGAGACAAATTACTATTTCTAATCTATAAGAACGATGGAGATATATAAAATTATGAAAATTGTAAAGGGATTAAACTTATGAGTCATACCTTGAAGTTATGGAAAAGAGTGATTGAACGAAGACTAAGAAAAAGACTCAAATCATTGATAATTAGTTTGGTTTTATGTTTGGAAGGTCGACCATGAAGGCTATATATATATACTACAATGTGTGATAGAGCAGTATCGGATGGACCAAAAAGATTTATACTTAGTTTTTAATGACTTGGAGAAGGCGTATCATAGAGTTTCTAGAGATATTTTTTGAAAAGTCTTAGAGAAGAAAAGGGTTAGGATTATATTCGAGTTATCCAAGATATGTATGAAGAGATATTGACTAGCATGCAGACACAAGGTGGAGAAACAAACGATTTTTTCTATTAAAATAAGTTAGCATAAAGGTTTAACTCTAAGCTCCTACCTTTTTACCTTGATTTTAAATGTATCCACGAAACACATCTAAAAGATAGAACTAAGATGCATGTTTTTTTGTACATGGTCGACCCGATCAATCTAGAGACCCCTGTTCTAATTTAAAAAATGTGTCTAAATTATATATATATATATATATATATATATATATATATATATATATATATATATATATATATATATATATATATATATATATATATATATATATATATATATATATATATATATATATATATATATATATATATATATATATATATATATATATATATATATATATATATATAAAATTAAAAATGACGTACTGAAAACTAAAATTATATAATAACCGAATGAAGTACTAAAACATAGCTTCGTTTCGTTTTTGTTTTTGACAGGCACAAAGCAAATGAAAGAACGATAGAAGCATGGTTTTGAATAGAATACTATTTCAAAATTTGATCCATGTAACTGATTCTATCTCGTAGAATAAGACTTGGTTGTAGTTGTTGACTAAAACATAATATTTGTTGCAGCGATGACCTTCAAATTTTGTGTTAAACTTCTAAAAATAGTCACCAAATTATGGCGAAAGTGGATCTTAGAATGTATTACTACAACAATTGCTCCTGTGCTTGTGAACGGGAGCCCAATTGATGAGTTTAAGTTGGAAAGAGATCTTCGTCAAGGTGATCGACTTTTCTCTTTTTTTCTTCTTTCTGTTAGTAGCTGAAGGGTTACATGTTTTAGCTTTAGTGGAAAAGGATTGTATACAGGGTACGAGGCGGGGGCGCAAAATCTTATTAATGTTTCTAATTTATAATTTACTGATAATACACTATTGTTGGGGGTTAAAAGTTAGGCTAATGTTCGAGCTTTGAAGGCGATGTTGATTCTTTTATAAGGTATTTCGAGATTAAAAGTTAACTTTTATAAAAGCACGTTGTTTGAGGTCAACGTCTCTAAATCTTGGTTGCATGAGGCAGTGAGCGTTATGAACTACAAGCATGGTCGTCTACCTTTTTTGTATTTGTGGCTGTCTGTTGGAGGAGATTCTAAGAAGCTTAACTTTTGGTATCCTCTTATTATTCATATCAAAAGAAGGTTGTGGGGGTGGAAGGGTCACTTTCTCTCTATGGGGGGTCGTCTGATTCTTATTAAATATGTCATGGCTTCCATTTCAGGCTACTTTCTTTCCTTCGTCAAGGCGGCCTTATGTATCATATCTTCTCTTGAATATATTTTTAATGCATTTGGGTGAGGGAGGAACTGAGAAAAACTTCATGGATCAAATAGGATACTATTTGCTTGAAAAAAGAAAAGAGAGGTCTAAGGTTAGGAGGTTGAAGGAGTTTAACTTAGCCTTTCTTGGTAAATGATATTGGAGGATTCTAAATGAGACGGGAAGGATGTGGTAAAGGGTTCTGTGTGCTCGGTATGGTGAGGAAATGGGGCATTTAGGTTTTGGGGGTAGTAGGTGATCTGTTTGGTGGAGGATTTTGAATAGCATAAGGGAGGGTTACAGTTTGGCTGATGGAGGGTGGTTACTTGATAATATTGATCGGCGAAGAGGAAATGGGCATTCTACTCTGTTTTGGATAAATCATTGGCTTGATGGTATGCCTTTGAAGGTGAGATTTAGTAGGTTGTTTGATTTAGTAGAGAATAAATGGGTGAAAGTAGCAAAATTGAATGAATTAGGGTTGGGGAGAATAGAGAGGCATGGAAGTAGTGTCAGAGATTGCTGACTTGGAAGGAGGAGTTAGTAGAATAATGTATTGAGTGGTTAACCTCTGTTGTTTTGTAGATGGAAGTAGAAGATCGTTGGTTGTGGACTTTACACCCCTCTTCGTGCTACACGGTTAGTAGTGCTTACAAAAATTTATCTGAAGCTGATGTCATCAATAATCAGACTAACTCCCAATTTTTCTGTTTGAAGACTATATCGTTAAAGGTATCTATTTTTTTCTGGAGACTATTACTAAATCGTATTCTGTCGAAGGACAATCTGGATAAGCGACAGACTGTTGTCACGGACGATCAAAGATGTGTGACAATTTGTGGCATGGGCTGAAGACAAGGATCATTTGTTTGTAACATGTAATTTTTTGGGTGGGTTGTGGACTGTTATTTTTAATTGGTTAGGATTCTCAATGGCATCTCAAGGAAAGGTTTTGGACCATCTTTTGCAGTTTGGTGGTCTTGGTTGGTTTTAGAAAAATGCTCGATTGGCTTTTAATACTATTTGATTTGTAGTGGTTTGGATTATTTGAAAAGAGCGAATTAGACATATTTTCCAGAATAAAATAGAGCAATTACAAGAGTTAGCTGAAAGAGTTAAACTTCTATCGCCTTGATGGTTAAAGTCAAAATATATTTATTTCGATTATGATTACCAATTTTAAAAGTTAAATTCTTTAACCTGTTGATCATTGGATTCATGCCAAATATTTTCATAATCAAACAACTTTTTATTTTATACCTAAGTCAGAATTTGATATAAACATTTTTTCTATAGATTTAAAATAAATTAATAACACTTTTTTGTGTTTTTTTCATATATTCTCCTTAGAGTTTGGGCAATTCGAGAATCAATGAGAAACATTTTTTATATTTGAAAATTTCTTTTATAAAGAAGACATCATTGTGAGAGACATATCATATATTTATTTAAAATCTTATGTAAATTCTTCTATTTATAAATATTTAAATTTTTATATATTTCTAATCAATGTGAGATTTCTCTATATTATTCACACTTGTAATATTTTTTAAATAAGTAATTATATTGAGAATAATATTTGACATTAAAGTGAATATCACTTTTAATAGAAAATCGAATATTAATAAAATTTATTTTTTATTTTTTACCTATATCAAAGTAACAGAGGGAGTATATCATTATTTCTATTCTCTGGTTTGTATTCTACAAGCATTGAAATCTAAGATGAAGATCAACACTGAATAGTAAAAAATAGAAAAATTAAATGGAGGCTAGAATAATAGATATATACTTGCCTTATTTGTTGCAAGAGTAGCCCTACCCAAAGCTTTCTGTTCCCTGACAAAGTGTTTTCGTGAAATTGAATGAGGATTATTATATGGAGGAGGAACTGACGAGTGTGTTTCAGGACCTTTATAATCAATCTCATATATATCTGAATCTGAACTCAATATTCCTTCTGATTCCCCTGTTATATATAATTAATTAGTGATAACTTACTAATATTAATAAGTTTAAAAGAGATATCTTGTGATGTTGTATTAGTTTAAAAGATATACAAACCTCTTGAAAAGTGAGCAAGAACGAGGAGGAGAAAAAGAAAAAGAAAGTAGTATGTTGTGAAGGATGACCTATGCTCCATATTTGGCATGCTCCGAATCTCTTTACCCTTTTTATTAAACAAAATACTATTTATCACAAATATGATACATATACGAAGCCAAAGTTGTAGTCATTTATACGGTGGAAAATTGAATTATTTCAAGTGGTAGGGACTCTTGTGGGGGATTCGTTTGGGCAAAATATAAATTAAAATTGTTGACATCCACACAAGAAATAAGTTGCCAGATGCTGGAGTGATGTGAGTGTGTCGGGATGTCAATTAATCTTTTTATTTTAAGTTGTAAATTATGGTGCTTGTCGTAGAAGCGGTTGTAATTAGGAGAGACAAGTAGACATATCCGTTCCGATTAAATCTGTCCTATAAAAATCTGTAAAAAAATAGATTCGAACGAAATGGACATAATAAAAGGTACAAACCTAATATCTTATCTCGTTCTACAAAAAAAAAAAAATAAAGATGGAATAGAGAATGTCCGTGGACTTTGCACTTTTTAAATATAAAAATATATAATTTCATGTAAATATTTGTGTCAGTAAAAATAAAACGAAAAACAGAACAAGACGAAAATATTTAAGGTTGCAAACTTAAAATCTTAATCTGCTATATAAAAAAGTTACAGCTAAAACGAACATGCTCAAAAACCGGATCTATTTTCCGCCTTAATTGCAACCAGCATTGCAACTCTGTCCAATTGTGAGATTGTTTTGTTGTTTCATTAAATTGGAAGCCAATTGAGATTTTAAGTTCTTAAAAAAATTATTTTTTATTTGATAAAATTTTTTATTCATAACTGAAGTATATATTTGGTATCTATCTATAGGGTATTTGCGGTGCGGTTTGGGCGGTTTTGAAATAAAAAATCATCTGAACCGCAAGAGAGAAAAATATGCGGTTTGGTTTGGTTCGGTTGACTTTTAAAAATAAATTTGAACCAAACCAAACCAAACTAATGCGGTTTGGATTGGTTCGGTTGTTTCGGTTTTTTACAAAAATAATTATTATGTCATACATACAAATATATAAGAAAATATAATTTTATATTTAATTGTTCATATATTATCATAAAAAATTTATAATTGTCAAAATAAATTTATAATTTGATATATAAAATTGCGTATTATAATTTTATCTAAATATAAATAATGATATCAACAAGATTGCATTCTTAAATAAATATTATACAAAGAATATGATAAAATATATTTTGTGAAAATAGTATTTATAAATGAATAATATTTTATTTTTTATGATTTATAAATTAAAATGAATATAATACAAAGTATGATAAAATATACACATAATACATGTTGATTTCTCTAAAAAATTATAAAAATATATATTGATTAGTAAGATTTTATAACATAATGCGATTTTGTTTGGTTTGATTTAGTTTGTAAAATACAAACCGCAAACCGAACTGAATCATGTGATTTGATTCGGTTCGGTTATGTGGTTTTCTATTGGGCCGGTTTAGTTTTGAACACCCCTATCTATTTATCTATAATATGAATTAAAAAAACTTTGAATATGCTAAAACTTGACTTGGTCAACAAATTTAGTAGGGGAAAGAGAGATGACATGAAGTGAAATGTGGTTGGGACAAGTCCATGTGTGTGTATAATTAAAATCTGTCATGACATGGACAAGGTGTAGTGTTTGCTCTGCTCAAACTCACACTACTACATGTGTTGAGACTAAAGACTCAATAGTGAACACACAAGTATGTATTGCGACGTTGCCACTTCACCAAACATGGCCAAAAATATTATTTTCCCCCATTTCCTTTTACCGTGTTCTGTGCAAATTAATGAACACCCAAATTAATCATTGTAATGCTTTCATGACTATATGCGTGTAGATAGTCGGCGATCATGAACACCCAATAGATTTTTTTATTTGATCATTTCAAAAATAATATTATATTATATACATTATATATAAATAATTAATATAAATTTAAAACCATTTGATACATGTTGGTATGTGTTTAGTCATAAAAATAGATAACTTGTTTGTTAGAATGTGACAAAATTTCATTATTCAATTTACAGCTTAAGGCTGCTTTACATACATATGGATAGATAACTTATATCACAAGTAATTACACAAAATAACTCATAATTAACTTAAAGTTTAAAGTTTGTTAGACTATTGTCTAATCATGCTCTAACACACTCTTCTAATATGAAATTATCAAAGACTCATATTACAACAAGCTATACTTATTCGATCTATACACTTAACTACATCGGCTTAAACTACAAACACGAAGTTTTGTTCTAATTTAGTTGAAGGACACGAGCTTCAAGGGTTTTGTTAGCATATCTGTAAGTTATTCTTGTGGATCTATGTGTTTGTAGGTAGTAAAGATCAACATTTAAAGTTTTAATGACGATAACGCATGACGACAAAATACTACAACACTAATGATGAACAAATGATCAACTTATAAGGGCTAAGATCAAGTGCTTTTAGAATCAGATAATATCCAACAAATCTTTGAAGTTTCTTTAATGAAAAATGTGAAAGCTCGTCAAAGTCATGTCTATCAGTCAATCTGAGTGAACTGAGTATTATAAAGATAAGGTAGTAGCTTGAAAGTACTAAGATAACTCTCACACACGCACACATTTAAAATGAAGATTAAGATAAATATAAGAAAAAAGAGGTCGGAATGTGGATTCCGTGTACCTCAGGGACTCTGTAACTCATTGACGTTAATTTATAATTAAATAGTATTTAGTAGAAAAATTAGTTTAAAGGCTAAATCTCACACTCTCGCGCTATTGAATTAAGCCACACACCCTAACGATGAGATTTTGTTCTCGCTCTCCCATTCTAATTAAGAAGCGTATTTTGAAAACTAATTAAGTCCTAATCGATACCTAAAGCGCTCTCGCCCTCTTTAGGATCGATGTCTCGTTCCCACTATCCGGTCCTATCCTCACGCTCTCGCTTTATTGGCTCAAACCTTTATTAATTCTCACTCTCGTGACAAATCATGTTAAGTAACCTCTCACTTTCGTGACAAAGCTATTTAAATTAAACTTGGAAACATAAGTCATAACAGAATTTATGAAAAACTCACGCCAACTTCGTGTTACTGAGTCCCGTCGGAAACGACGATCCTCACATACCAGACTCAAATTTTTTTAGCTAGACATGAAATTAAGCGTAAACAAACTAAACATGATGATTGTAAATAAAAACAACATGATAATTAAATTAAACAAAGCGATAAACAACAACAATAATAATAATAATAATAATAATAATAATAATAATAATAATAATAATAATAATAATAATAATAATAATAATAATAATAATAATAATAATAAGCAATACGATAAAGAACATATAAAAACTTGAAATAAATGCGGAACTGAAATAATTTTGATTAATGACGGCAAGATTTGATCCAAACAATTAAAAATATTATGGGCCTAAATACTAATGGTGGAGTAGTTCTTCGATGTGATAAACTACTCCTTTTATATTTGTAGTTTTTGCCTAAAAACTACGAACAACGCTTCTACGCGATAACTTGGATACCTTGAAAGTGTGATTCCAAGGTTTATTTATAGGATGAATTTCATTTTCTAACTTCCATAGATCATCTGTGAGTAGTGGAGAAAGTGGGAGAAACCTCCAAAGTAGTGTTGTTAGTGGGCGGTTACTTTTCTGAACTGCACACAAATGGCGACTGCCATTATACTCATGGCGACCGCCATGAGCTTGAGTTGGTGGACCACGTGGCTGGGTGCGAGCGCCATTAGTTCCATGGTGAACACCATGCACCAAAGAGTGGAAAATTCAACACTTTTTCTTCCTTTTTTGCTCTTTTTCCGATTTCTTTGCATAAATGCTTCATAATCAACAAGTACCTGAAACACGAACAAAGCATGGCATAATACTATGAAAATATAATAAAAATATATTAAATATCATGTGAATCGAGTCTAAAAATATGATACATTTACGTGTTATAAACACTCCCACACTTAGATCATTGTTTATCCTCAAGCAATCAACCAACAGGGTAAAAAGAAAGAATTAAGCGTCATTCGAAACAAGTACACACAAAACTCTAATCGTATACGGTTACTAGGCTATGTCAAATCATCCAGGACTAAGAATCAATACCAAGGATATTATAATGACACAATGTTCAAAAACTCCCTCTTTATGCAGTACAATTTGAATCATGCCATTATAAATCAACCTATACCTCTCGCTTTCTTTCTCTATTTTTCATTCAAGTGCAATCGCATTAAACTCGTTATCCATGCACGTACATTGTAAGGAAATCTGTTAGTGATTATGATCTTTATTAGCACAGGGTTCTGGTAGTTAAAACAGCACACCCCGTTTTATCCAACTGTAGTCGCGACAGATCGGATCGTAATCTGCCCTACCAAGTCCAACACCAGAGACCAATGTACCGACTTACAATGGGTGTTATGATTGTGTTTTTATTGGTTCAACAACCGTTGGGCTAAATGACCGGGTGAGGGTCACCTAACTTAAAAGGCACATTCCTTGTTTTTCTTTCAATTAGTTAATTCGTGATCATTCACTTTTTTAATCAGCTTCCCTGTGTAGTTTGTGCTTAAGATGGTGATGACTGCTAATATAAACTACTCAAGAGCTACTTTAAAAACTTGATCCTAAGATCTCAGTATAATGGGTACCTAAATTGATATCGCATAATGAGGGGGTTTAGGGTGTCATAACATTATTGATGTTATTGATAATTTCCCATGCCTCTCTAACATAGCCTAAAGTGTGACAACCTATATACTTTCAGATTATGTGTCATGCATCAAAAAGAATTTTTTTATGGGATGTTAAAATTTCGGGGAAATTCAATAACAACAGAAAAAACAAGCATACAGACTCGACAACACATGTAGTGACTTGACCAAATACTGAAAACAAATAAAATCCTAAAAACATGACATAAACTAGAAAACATTAAATCAAACTAAGAAGCGATAAATGGAAAGCGGTAAAGTTCCTCCCCC